AAACGTCTCTTTGTTTATTCGCTTATGTAGTACAGGCATTCCCAGATATTTGCCTAAGTCCCTCATTGTCTGTATTCCACTCTCTTCTGCAATCAGTTTCTCCAAATCTCGATGAACATTGTTGGAAAAGTAAATCTTCGATTTTTCAAAGCTCACTTTTTGCCCTGATGCCACGCAAAACCTCTCCAAAAACGCTTCTTATTACCCTTATTTGTGCCACTGAAGCTTCTGCAAACAGAATGAGATCATCGGCAAAGCAAACATGTGATAATTTCGGTCCTCCCCTCGAGATACTAATCGGCTTCCACACTCTTGACATTGTCGACTGATCAATCATATGACATAGTCTTTCAAGGCACAACACGAACAAATATGGTGACAAGGGGTCTCCCTGCCTCAATCCTCTCCTCGGAGTAAACGGCTCTGTCTTTTTTTCATTCCAGAGCAAGCTCATCTGCGGCCCAGTAACACAGCTCATGATCCAATCAACCCACTTATCAGGCAGTCGTGCTACTCGTAGTGTATCTTCAAGGAAGTCCCAACGTACCCTGTCGTAAGCTTTCTCTAAATCAAGCTTGAGAAGCATCCACCCATTTCTTCCCTTCTTCCTTTGCATTGAATGGACTACTTCTTGCACCACCACAATATTATCAGCACTCAACCTGCCAGGGATAAAGCTAGACTGAGCCGGTCCTATCAGCTTGAAAATGACTCTCTTCAAGCGTATAACCATGACCTTTGTAATCACTTTAAACAGCACATTGCACAAACTAATAGGGCGAAACTGCTTAATCGTCTCTGGCTTAAGAACTTTGGCAATCAATACCACTATTGCATCTTTAATGCCTCTCGGTAGGACCCCTGTATTGAAGAAATTCAGGACAAAACTCACCACTGAACCTCTGACAACATCCCAGCACTCTTGATAAAATACTGGTTGGAATCCATCCGGGCCTGGCGCTTTATATTTGCCCATACTACGAACCGAGAACTCCACTTCCTCTGCTGAGAACGGCTTGTTTAGCTCTCGCCGCTCATCACCTGTTAGTTGCGCAAACCCTTCACTCGATAGTGTGGGCACAGTCAGTTCCACGTCGTCAAGTGAGTATAGTTTTGAGAAAGAGTCAGTCGCCAGCTTTTCTAGTCCTTGACTCACCCATATACCTTCGTCATCTTTCAGTGATTTGATTCTATTCCTGCGTCTTCGTATCACTGTCAACATGTGGAAATATTTAGTGTTTCTATCCCCCAGGGCTATCGCCTTTTCCCTCGACTTCTTCTTTACGATGAGATCATCTGTTTGACTCACTTCCAATAGCCCTTGAACCCCCTTTATCTCTGCCATCAGTTTTTCTTTCTTCTGATGCACATCTCCAAATACTTCCCTGTTCCATTGGCGCAACTTTTCCCTCAACATCTTAAGGGCCATCGGAGTAGATACTTCTCCATTCCAAGATGTTGACAGAAGTTCTCTGAAACCAGAATGTTTTAACCAAGCAGCTTCGAATCTGAATGGTCGTCTTCTCGGGTCACCTCGTACCTCCGGGCTCATCTGAATATACAGAGGAGCATGGTCCGATGATAAGAACGGGAGATGGGTAACCGTCGTCTCCTGCCACTTCAATCTCGTGTTTGCACAACATAGAACTCTATCCAACCGCATCGCAACAAACGTGGATTCAGCCCTTCCTCTCTTCCAAGTGAAACTATTCCCTTTAAACCCCATGTCTATTAGGGATAGCTCATTTATCCGTTCCCTGAAAGCCAGATAATCAGCTGAAAGTCTTCCATTGCCCCCCGTGCGCTCATCTAAGCGAACAATTGTGTTAAAATCTCCACCAATCACTAGTAGTTCTGTGACACTTTGGATTACCCGACTTAACTGTCCCCATAAGTTACTCCGTCTACTCACTGAGGGGGCTGCATAAACGACAATCCAGTGAGTGATATCCACACCATTCCGAACTCTAGCATGGATAAATTGATCCGAAGACTCCAGAATCTCCACCTCCCCTACATCAGACTTCCATAACATCCATAACCCGCCACTTTGGCCTATAGCTTCTACTCGAAAGGAACTGTCGAAGCCAAGGCCTTGACAGATTTTTCTTGCACGGTCTCCTCCGGCGTGAGTCTCGAACACCGCCAGTATGTCCGTCTGAAACTTCTTTAATAAGTATCGAATCGATCGTCTAAAATTGGGTTTATTCGCCCCCCGGCAATTCTATAATAAGCAATTCATTATATCTTCTTGCGTTTTGATTAACTGAAACGCCAAGGCACCCTGTTATGCGATTGTCGGATCATCATTCGTCTCCGACAAGCTCGTGACCATTTCCGACTCCCCAATCTTGCCAGTCTCACTGGATTCACCCAGACCTGAACTCTTTATACTTGTAACCGAGATTCGTGGACTAACCACTCCCGCATTGCTTCCAGGGTCATTCACGAATGCACCTCCTGGTCTCCCTATACGATCCTGCTCCACTCGCATTCTCTTCTCTGATTCAGAGAGTTCGATTTCCCTCCGAGTCGGCCCAAACTAACCCCCTCGTAGGCCTGATGGGAATATGTTTAAGCTTCTGTTTATTCCCCTTGTTGGGCTTACTACTTCCACCCTTTTTGTCCTTAGGCCCATCTGTCACCACTTGATGGTTCCTCCCAGCTCCCTCGCCAAAGAGACCTTCTTGAAATAGGTCTGACTCTTTTCCTTTCTCGTTACTCTTTGGAATATTCTCTGTCCCGCGATTTTTCTTTCCCATGGGCCCTACTTGCTTAATCTCTGGAGTTTCCATATCTTCCCCAAGCATTCCAAAGCTGTTCGCGGTTGAGATATTCTCTATTTCTATATTTTGCGGGATCTCTTTCAGATTTCTTCCGAGATTCACGTTCGAACTCACGACCACCTCTCTCACTGAGTTCGACGACGCACTCATCCTCCGTGCTCTCCTAACTTCCGTGAAGCCTTCCTCCACCCGAATCGGCTCAGCCGATGTCCCATTTCTCCCTCGCATCGTGTTCTCCACTAGTTTTTCTGGCACTTGTTTAGGACACGAATGGACCAAATGTCCATACAATCCATAGGTCAAGCATATATTGGTCAGCCCCTCATATGCCATAAAATACCGATCCCCATTAATTGACACTGTTCCTTTTAAGGGTCTCGATAAATTGACCTCAACACACACTCTCGCGAAGCGAGCTCTCTCGAACTTCTGCGTGGTCTGATCCACTTTGATCGGTTTTCCGAGCCCTTTGGCAATCCCCATAAGAATCGCTCTATGGTAAAAGTTAACTGGAATATTCGATAGTTGCACCCACACCGGTGTTGTAGTGATCTCATCCCTCAAATGATCAAACTCCGGCGACTAAGCTTGCACCATAAGATAACTCCCAAAAGCTCTCTACGGACCCCCGGTTAACGCTTTCATGAAATCCTCCTCTCCCGCAAAACGGACCATGAAAAATTGACGGGTAGATCAACAACGACCATAGTTTCACTCGGTCTCCACAACTCTCTTAACTTCCTATTCAAGGTCGCAATCTCAATGCTTCTTCCAAGGACTTTCACGATCATGCATTGTTTTCATAAGCCGTTCATTGCTTCCAACACATCCTGTTCGATTGTAATCTCCGGTTCACTATCCTCCCCATTTGAAAACTCCACATGGAGCCGTTCAGCAACAAAGCCGTCATCTACCACCATCTCTGGGATCGGCATACTTCCTCCACTGGTTCCCGTCACCTTTCTCACCCATGAGACAGGCTCATCGGGTGGATCCGTTGGTCTCGTCCCACTCCCAATTTCCGTCATCACCGTATCTTGTTCGCCGTTCTTCAAAACCCTAGAATCGCTCATTTCTTCTTCTTCTACCATCAATATATTATTATTACTTATTAAACAAAACTTTAAAATACTAATTATATACCTTAGATTTTTAAAATTAATATAATAAAAGATTTTGATAGATTTTTTAAATATTAATAACCTTTTTAAAAATTTTACAAACTCTTTACAAATTTAATAAATCTCTCAACTTCAAAATCATCACAACTCTATATAAATCCTACTCCTACTAACACCTCCTAAGTTTCGGTACATATATAAACCATTATAGAAGTAATCGTTGTGCAGAGAAACTAGATATTAAAAGCAACAGTCAATTGTTGAATATTCTTGTGCAATCAGTGACTCATCATCTCGACAAATCAAAAGGAAAGCAGTTAATGGGCCATTGTGTGGAAAAGCCGAAGAACATTCAACTGGTTTGAAACCCAAAACATGCAACGGCTCTTTCGTTTGACGATAAAGCCGAAAGGAGAGAGGAATATCACACGGGCATGATGAAGCAAAGTATGGAAAGGTCTTTATCCTGTCAAGCTAGCTAATCCATTCATGGCCCTTGATGACCTTAGGGTTTTAGTTGATTGTATAAATACAAAACTATTGAATTTGTAACACCTTAAGACAAAAATGCAATATTAAATAGAACAATATTCATCATTTTCATACTTTTTTTTTTTGAATTTTCATTTCGCTTTCATTAGATACTTTCCAATTCATAAATCATAACATGGAGGTTTTTCCTTGTTTTTTTTGAATTTTTGTTGTTCTTTCCTATTTCTAAATAGAAAACTAAGGTTGAAAAACCTTAATTCCTATAACTTCTGTACCATGTAATTTTAATTTTTAGTAAGGTTGAATGTCCTTACTCTTTGACAGGTTTCCTAAATATGAGATGGGGGAAACAGGCATGACCGGCGCTTTCTTGCGTGACAAGCACCATCGGAGGCAAAGTCCCTAGAAAACGACACCGATTCTATTGTCGCTGATGTGCAGATAATGTAAGAAATTTTCTTAGTTAGCTCCAAACAGGTTCTCCATTAAGGTTTGCTTCATCATCGAGTTTGCATTGAGACAGATAAATTAAAACTGATCCGCGCTAGAGATAACTACAGCTCCAACTATATATCTAAATTATTGCCTAGAGAACCCTCTGTTGTAACGATTATGACTTATAAGAATAACCATTAATCGAAGCTTTCCTTGAATTCGAGAGTGATAAGAGTGTAATGTATATACATGGTGAAGGAACTCGTATCTAGACATGTGAGATAACAAATAACGAGAAAGACAAAAAAAGGGGAAGATTCAAAAAGAGCGAGTAAAATACGATGTAACCATATGTTAATTCTTATGCAACTCCAAAGAACTCCTAGGGAGCTTCAGACTTTTGTGTCTCACCTTCTTTTTTCTTGTCCCGCAAGTTTTAGCTCTGGTTGTGAAGGACTGCAAACGCAAATCAGCGAATTCCTCTGTAAGTAAACGAATCAAATGAACGTTTCTGAACTTTTCAGATGATGAAACACTACCACAATCTTAAGTCCAAAAAAGCCAGAAAGTTCAAGACTATGGAAGAAATGAAACATGAAAGAAACCAAAAATCTATTTTTGTCTCATTATCCAATTTCAGAAACATGAGAGACGCGTTGAAAGCTAGTCATGGACTTATAACAAGATGTAAGAGCTTTAACAACATTTCAGAGAAGTTCTTGATTACCTCTTCTCTTTAAAAGAAACGTGGCTTTCGATCTGCAGGCTTAAGAATTTGGAAAGAACACATCAAACTTTCATCGACACTCATCATTGCACCCGCATTGTCAAATTCACCACAGTAGTTTGGAGCAGAGAATATAGTCACAAGCTGTCTATCGGCAAAGAACTCATACCCATCCTCTACAACCTGCAGGGGAACATTATCAGTTCTTGAGAAGCAGATTCAATTTCCCAAACAAAAAAAAAAAATCTAGAGGAAACATTATACATATACAATACACCAACCTGGTGAGCACGACAGACTAAATCCATATCGTTTTTTATAAGAAACTCAGCGACTTTGTCAGCGCCAAAAGTATACGAGACTCCACGATCATTCATCCCCCAGCCCTTGACGTCTTTACTAGGATCAGACCAAAGAAGGTCACAGAGCAAACCAGAGTCTGGAACATCAACGGGACGCTCTATGTTCTTGATCTGTTCCACACTGGTCAAATCAGGTGAAAGTCCACCGTGCATACAAAGAATCTTCTCGTCTATGACAGCAGCCACAGGGAGACAGTTGAAAGAATCTGTAAACACTTTCCAGAGCTTCACGCTGAACCTTCGTTTGCATTCGTCGTAGAATCCGTAGATTCTGTTGATAGATGCACACTCGTGGTTTCCTCTTAAGAGGAAAAAGTTCTCAGGGTATTTGATCTTGTAGGCAAGAAGGAGACAAATAGTCTCCAAGCTCTGCTTCCCACGGTCAACGTAATCTCCTAAGAATAAGTAGTTTGCTGCAGGAGGGAAACCTCCATACTCGAAAAGCCTCAGTAAATCTGAGTATTGACCGTGAATATCACCTGAAACCAACACAACATATGACAAAGAAAAATGTTACACATCATCAACGTGGGAATCCACAGGAACCATTATCAACAATGTTTGAAAGGAAAACAAAGAAAGTTATACAAGGAGCAAATGCATTTTTCGCCAACAAGATCAAAAAGAAACTTGCGTCCTCTCACATAACAGACTAACAGTACAAGCTCTTGTTACCGTTAGGATCACAATGAATTGTCAGATTCTCTTAGGCAGATTCCAAGACTCCAAGAACAGGCTAACCTCAATAATCACATTCCTCATTTAAGTGACATCAATTGGTAAAAGAAAGATTATTCCTTACAGCTTCCAGACAAAAAGTTATCCTCGAAGTAAGTATCATTCAACCTCGTGAGGGTCGCAAAGCAATGTAATCATCTTTTTACCAACTTTTACTTTCCTTTCTTTCAAGATTAGCTGCTGCAATCAAGATGATCCTAAACATCTCTCCCTCTCTCTCTCCCTCTCTTATATCCATTCTACATTCCCACAAAACGTCAATTCTATCCATTTCTACCATTTACATTCCCACAAAACTAAACTGGTCTCCAATAAAAATGCAAACTTTTTTTTAGCTAAACAAAAATAAGAGAAGGCAAAAGGTACACTCAATCATGAAGAATCTCAGATCCCAAAACGACGAAGCAGGAAGCTGGAAATCGGAGAAGAGAGATTCTATATATACATACCGCAGATCTTGACGGGGGCATCGAGCTCGAGGAGAGTGGGCTGTTGAAGGAATATCTCTTTGGAGACGACGCAAAGAAGTCGGATCTCAGACTCGTTGAGCATCATAGCCTGCTTCGTGCCAGGCTTAGGGTTCCTGTAATCAAGCAAACGACGAATGATGTCGTCGAGAGCAGCAGGGTCCATGCTTCCCTGCCCTTGTTGCGCCATTCACTTCTTACCCACCTCTCGATTTATATATATATGTATCATCCAAAGTTTCAATCTTTCGGACAAGATTCGATCGCCCAGAAAGAAAAACTCCCAGAAAAAAGAAATTAAATTTTCAAAATCTGAACACAAAGGAGATTCTCTCGCTTTTCTTTCTCTTCCAGTTTTGTGAAATTTGTTTTTATTACAAGTAAATTTCTGTGATTGATGGATGCGTTTACCGAAATGATTTGCCAATCTCCCTTTGGACAGGGAACCAAAAAAAATTATTGCTTTTTTTTTGTTTTGTTTTGTTACTACCCCTTTTATTTGCCATCATCAAAAAAAAAAAAAAATAAGTTTCAAATTTCGATCGATTTGACTAAGAAAATTAGTTTAATAAAAACAAAACTTCTTTTATTTTGTTATTATAAAAGAAATTATAAAGGTAGAAAATGACTAGACAATTAAACATCAACATTAGCTCCTTTTAACGATAAAAATGCACGGATTTTTGTTATAACTGGTGTGTTGTTTTTTCTTTTTTTTAGTGGTGTGTTGTTATTCTGCAGATTATATAAATCACACAGAATTTTCGTGTATTGCATTTCCAAATAAGAAATGATGAGTTTAGGACTGAAAGACCTTTTTGGTGTATGCCCAAAGTACTAGAGAGAAAGAAAACAAAACAAAAAAAAACTCAGACGTTGACTATGTAAAATTTTCATGATTATTATTATGATTTATGAATTATGATATGAACACACACTTTCGTGCATGCAATTGGGTATATTTTGCGAGTTGGCTGATATGACGTTTCTTTCTCCACCACTCCTTTTATTCTTCAACCGTCCGTCCACACGTATCGTCATTTTCTCTATTTACTTGAATATGGCATTTTTCGAAAAACTTTTAATTTGGTCGGTTTTAGAAATTAGCCTCGGCCCTAAATTAAGTGGGGGTCCAAAACAACACATGCATTTTCATCTATGGGAAGTAGATTTCCGACGTGTCAAGCTTACGTTCATTCTCAACATACTTTAGTTATCGATTTTTCTAATTATATCCTTAATGAAAACTGTGATTGAATTGTTGGTTTAGTTTTACACACGGTTTAGCTCGATAAGGATGATTGTTCTTTTCGAATATACACGGTTTAGCTGGATAAGGATGGTTGTTATTTTCAAATATATGAATTAATTGGGTAAGGATGGTTTTATTTATGAATTGATTGGGTAAGGATGATTTTATTTATGAATTAGTTTGATAAGGATGATTTCTCTTTTTCATTTTTTATGAAATAGTTGGATAAGGATGCTTTTCTTTTTCGAGATGCAGCCGAATATATTCGCTAATGAATATTTATAGTTCGCCCCAGGTTACCGAGTATGTATAAATACTATTGCTTCTTTTTACAATTTAAACTTCAAACCAACGATTTTTAGGTATTCGTCTTACCTAGGGTTGGGTTTTGTTGTTTTCGTATATATTGCTCTTTTGTGTTCGTCTAAATGATTATAATTCGTAATGTTGTCCTATTTGTTGTTTGTTCGTCTAAATGATTATAGCTCATGTAGTTTTAATGTTCATATTTTCTTTGTTCAGGCTGCCGTCGATATTGCTTGGTTTTCTGGTTATCGAAGTATGATTGATGTGCTTATTGTGTTTTTAAATATATTGCTCTTTTATGTTTGTATATATATATATATATATATATAGTTTTCCTGGTGTCCTATATGATTGTAACTTGTGATTTTCCGTATTCGTATTTGGTTCGTGTGAATGATCCTAATTCGCGCTGTTTTCATGATCGTTATTTTTTGTATAGGTTGTTGATAATTGTTGCTTGGTCTTCTGGTTATCTGGGTAAGTTTTATGTATTTATCGTGTTTTCCTATTTATTGTGTTCTCGTATATATTGTTATTATATGTTTGTATATATATATATTGTTTTTTGGTTTATATAATATACCTTGTGATTGTTTCATATTCGTATTTTGTTCATGTAAATGATCCTAACTAGTGGTTTCTTTGTGTAGACTATTGCTAACTGCTATTTTATCTTCTGGTTGTCAGTTTAACTGGTATATATTATTATGTTTTCTTAAGTATTGCTCTTTTATGTTTGTATATATATATATATATCGTTTATATATAATTTGTGATTTTTTCATTTTCATATTTTGTTAATATATTTAACTGTTTGTTTTTGTTGAATGGTTTCGTAGGGTGTTGTATTATTCACGATGCGTTATACTGGTGAGTTCGTCGTCTTGTAGTTATTTATATAAATATCTTTGCGTGTTTATGATTTACAGTTTGTGATTTTAGATTTGCATTATGTTTATGTCAATTTGTTAGAGTTGTTGATTTTGATTCTGATTGTTGTAGGAACTTATGTTCTACCGTACCATCTTCCTGGTGCGAGTATCAACGCGAATTCGTTGAAGTTTACTGCTTGGATGGAATATAATAAGGTTGACCCGGATGCATGGTCATTGACTTACACAGAGTTCTTTACGAAATTTGTATGAGATCGTAATAATAAGCGTTGGAAGCCTAGATGTCGTGGTGGTAGTAAACCGGGCCGTTTGGCATATTGTCCTGATACTTCTGGAGAGATTTATTACTTGAGGCTTTTATTGCTTAGGGTAAAAGGCCCGACGTCTTTTGATTCTATAAAGACAGTGGCTGATATTGTTTATCCGACGTTTAAAGATGCATGTCGTGTTTTGGGTTTAGTCGATGATGATGAGGAGTACGCTGCGGCGTTGTGGGAGGCAAGTCGTTGGTATGATGGTTCGATGGTGCCGGTTTTGTTTAGGGATTACTAATTGTATTGGTATTTTTATGGACATGTGATCCTGTTTTATTATTTTATTTTTTTGTTTTGGTTTTATTTTAAATACTCTATTATTATATAAATCTACAAATTACTCGAATCTTCGATATCTATTTGGTGTATTTCCTATTTATTATATTTTGTATCTATCATATTTTAATTATTCTTGATTTTGGCTTTTAAGTATATGTGTATTGTATAATTAAAAATGTTAATGTCTATGATGGGTATATCTTCGAATATACTGTTCTTATATATTGTTTGTAACATGTTTAGTGTTAATATTGTTTCGTATATATTAACATAATAGTATAGATTATGTGGTTAATATATTGTTAGATATGTGATTCGTATGTATCGATCAATATGTGTTTTTTAGTGATTCGTAAAAGTAATCATTGATGTATTCATATATATTAACATGTTCTGGGAATATTCAAAATCATTATTCAACATTGTTGGTACTATCCATTGTGGTTATATAGTACGTATATTATGGGCAATTCTACATTTATAATTTTGAAATTATATATTTTATATAATGGATATTCATATATATTAACATAATTTAGTATATTCAAAAAGGTTATTCAACATACTTGGGAATATCAAAAATAATTATATAGTGCCTATAAGATGATAAATTTTAACATCTCTAATATTGTAGTTGCGGTTTTTATGTATGACTCTATCGTGTTGATTTCCGTTTGTTTGTATATTCAAAAATACACACGTAACAAATTACCATATATTTGATTCTATCATTGTGTTGATTTTATTTTGTTATTTAAATATTATCTGAAATTAAATGTTATTGGGCCCAGGTTATTCAGCGTATAAATGTAAACCCTAATTTATTATTCATTCTTAGTTTATATCAACAGGATGTATATGTTCTTTCTAATCATTACGTCCTAATTTGCGCCGATAGACTTGATCATGGTTCTTTCTCTCTATGTTGTTGTGTCGTCTTCTTCTTCTTCCGTTTTTTCTGGACATCCTACTCGGTCGTTGATGCGTGCGTATAAAGGAACTGGTATTTCTATTATATTTTGACATGGATACGTGGTTGTGTGGCTTGTTTTGGTTATTATGTATTTCATAGTTTCTTTCTGATTTCTTGGAAGTTCCTTTGCTTAGTCGAGTTCGTCGAGTTTTTGATGGTAGTTTATGTTTGACATTAAATATTTCATAGTATCTTTCTGTTTTTTGATAGTTCTTTTGCTGAGTCGAGTTCGACGAGTTTTTGGTGATAATCTGCGGTCGTATAACGTGCTCTATGTGTTTTTAAATGTTCGAGGTGTGTTTTTGGACTATGAGTTTATATTATATTATATAGCACGTGTGTTTGTTACATTATTCCTTAATATCTTAAGTGGTTGCTCATTTATGTAGATATGGCTGATAGACGTTATGCACATCGTGAGGTATGGCTCGACGAACACGATTTTGCTGACATGGATCATGATTTTTTGGCTGTGGGTTTGGAAAGTGAGTCTCCCGACTTATCTGTTGGTAGTTGTAACTCTCCTGATGTTGGGTTTGTAAGAAACTCTCGAGTTATCTCCGACACCTTCCGTTGTTGTTTCATGTCAACTCATGGATTTTGGCTATCGCTTTTCTATGCAGTTTGCACGAAATAAGTTCCTGCATGGTCCAAACTCTTTTGGTGTCTCACAATTGAGACCTGGTTTTGTCGAGGCTGTAGTTTTCGTGAAGGTGTTAAGAGTTTGGACTACTTCGTTTAGTCCATCTGATAAAACATTGAATTTTGTTTTGTGCGATGATGAGGTTTGTTTATATGGTCTGTTCTTGTATTATATGTTATTATTTTTGTTGTTTCTGAATTCCAGTGTTTGTTTCGTTATTGTGTTGTAGGGTGTGAAGATTTGTGGAACCGTTTATGCTGTTGATTATGACCGTTTCTATCCTGTGCTGTGTGAGGGTGTTTGGGTTACGGTTAGAAATTTTGTTGTTGTTCATTTAAATAGCAATCCCAGGATTACATCCCATCGGAGTGAGATGCTTTTTCTAGGTCCTACGGTTGTTGATGTGCAAGTTCATCTGTTTGATCAAAAATTTTTTAATTTCATAAGCTTTGAACAGATTCTCGCTAGGGCTCCTTCGGATCGGTCTTTGGTTGGTATGATTTTGATTAAATGTTCGACTGCTCTATAATATGGCGTTGTTTTGGTGAGTTGTAAATGTTGATTGCGTTTGTTTGTATTTCTCAAGATTTAATTGGGGAGGTTGTGTGCATAAGAGAGTTGGATTTACCTAATAAAGATACTGGTGGGCATGCAGTGTTTGTATTTAAGCTCAGAGATCTAAGGTATGTTGTTGTGTTACACATATCATTTATGTATGACATTTTTGATTGCTAATTCATGTGGTATACATTCTTCACTTATGCAGTGACGTGTGTATCAAATGCGTGATGTTTGGTGGTGATGGTCAGAAGCTTTATAATGACTTGTCTAGATG